GCACACGCAACAGACATTGACAAATGTAACTGCGGATCTCGAGGAAGAACGGTTCGCTCAGCCCTACCCCCACTACAGTTGAAGTAGATAGATAGATAACCTTTTTAATTGTTTCCTTTGTCTTTAATTAGACCTTGCTTTACAGTATTTTATCAGCCGTGATAATCTGATATAAAAAGTACTACGTATCTAGTTGCGCAATCAGGTACAAAACAGAGTTAAAAAAATCATGTACGGGATTGCACTGGTCGTAACTCCCTGGCTGGGAGTCGAACCCAGCTTTCCCGCGTTACCATCATCAGCTCATTTATGACAGGCGCGTGTACTAGCCGATATACTACCAGGGAGATGTTATTTAGTCATTTTTTGTGCTCAAGTACTTCTGGAAGTGTGCTGGACTTTCTTCACAATGGTTAAAGCTCATAGATGTGATTTACTGGATTATAACCAGTAACGCCGGTACACGGCAGTGCCCGCTACCTCCCCAAGCAAGCACCTGAAACCATCCCACATCCCAAAATGAACAATCCCTGACAGTTTAAAACAGATACAACATGCGAGACATACGCCACGGATGATTACTCAAATCTTGCAATATCTCGAGAACCGGCAAGATCTGATGTCAAAGGTTACAAATACTGGATCATAACAAAGGAGGAAACGTACCTCCAGTGGAGGATTAAGACCCAAACTTTCGGCACGCTTCCATCGTTCAAAGCGAGTGAGCCCATAACCCGGACCGTATTCCAGATCACTGAGATATCCCCATGAGATCGTCACAGCAAGCGTATGCAGGGGAGAAACCCACTGATCAAAATCCAAGAGCTGCAGTTCAACATCGTTATTGAAGAATCCGCAAGGATCGTTCCCATTCCTGTTTGAAGGCATTTCTCGCTGAATTGGCCGTTTGACCAACAACTTTTTGACTCCTATTGGTAAACAATCAGGACCAATGAACAGAAGCCAACACCTCCTACCTTTGGGCCGCCGACGAACCCCCCCGCTGGGTGAAAAAAACTCATCCATGGTACGGTTTCCCTGTTTCACCATTGACGAAGACGTGGGCGTTCAAGTGCAGCGATATCATATAGCGCACGATCCCAAGCAAATGAAATAATCGGCGCGGGCACTATATAACAAATAACGCCATATGTTACCAAGTCACAAATATGGAATAACCGAACAAAAACAAAAAACTACAAATCAAGTACGAGTACAGGGCAACAAATGTCATCTACGCAAACCCTCACACGAACAGACCTCCCAAGCACGTTTCCTTTGAAGCTTCCTAACACGAACATTTGCGATGCGACCAAAGTCGCAGCCGGCCAGGGTGTAGGCCAGAAAGACACACTGACTTCCGTGACAGCAGTCAGCAGGCCGAAAACGAGGTTGTAAAAAGTGGTACTCGCTGTCTGCAACGAAAATAAACATCGAACCGTGAAGAGAAATCACATGTACTAACCAAAATATGATCACCATCATATTCCAAGAAGCAACCAAATTTTTGCAGACGCGGGACAGAGCCGAGAAGCGAGGGCAGTAGATGCAACGGAATGCGGTTGACCGAGAAAAAATCAAGGGAAGTGAGTGAATTGTTCATTTGTAAAGCGGACAACAAGACGACAAAATCCCGAGGGTCATGATGCACAATCCAAAGCGTTTCCAAAGCGTTCAGATTCAGCACTCGACATGCTCCAGCCGCCGTTCCCCAAAAATCTGTCAACGGGCAAACCCAATTTGAAGAAGTCAACCTTGAATCATCCTCGTAACCAACATCGTAGACAAAGTAGGCCAATGACACCAGCGCCCGATGTCTGTTAACAAAATTAAACACATCGAGCTCCCCATCAAAGGACCGATACTTGAAAACAGTCAGATGCGCAAAAGTAAAAGTGGCGCTGTCGAACAGCGCTTGAAGTCGAACCACCGGGACAGAACGACAAGGCAAACACAGAGACAGAAGTTGCAGACCAGGGACGAGAAACGGCAGGTCCTTTAACACCTTCGTGATCATGAAGTAGCTAGCTATATCTACAACGTCAGGAACAATCTATACCATTCCAGGACAGTTACGCACGAGGTAAATCAACATGATCAAACATCAGAGTGAGGTTTGTCAACGACCGAACAAACAAGGATTTCTGCAACAAAATAAATCAGCGGGAAAGCGAGGATATGATTTGGATGTACCGTCAATGAAATGTTAATCCGCGTGGGCGGGTAAGAGAGGCGCAAGGATAGTTCTTGCAATGGCATATTACATAGACCCCTTATGCCGTCTAGCAAATCCGTTGCCGAATGAGTACGAGATTCCAGAGTAAGCGACTTGAAGGGCCCATTCCAAGTATCGCCGACACTGTTAATGATGTTCATGAGGGACATTCTGAAGAGGTGCAATTTTCTTTCATCCCACTGGGTGTGCATGAAGGACAGCTCACTGACACACTCCGCAGGATGCGACCGGAACCGCCAAGTACGGAGTCTGTCAAGTGCTTCCACACAACGAGGCCGCACCAGGGCCAAAAGAGACCTCTCTGAGGATTGTAGGTGAACATAAGGCCCAAGGACATTTTGCAGCCGCAACGACACCCCTGAGAGTGATGTCAAGGACTGTAAGTCCAAGAAGTCGCGTCCAATCCCTGCTAACAGGCAATCAGATAGATCTAGAAAACCTTCTCTGGTTGTAAGTTACCAGTTTAAGGCCGTCGACAAAGCAAAACGTACCCGACATCGTTGTTTTGATCAACAGGAGCAATGCTTAACCGGTTTAAGAGCTCTGGCAATAGGGGCACACAACCAAACAAGTATAGCGCAAATTAGAGTACAATATTAGTAAAGAGACGCCTAATAGTAAATCAACGCATATAGACTCAACCTGGAGGAATAACCCCGAAACAGCGAAAAGCCGGTAAAGCAAGCTGAAAATACAATAAGAATAAATGTTCAAACTCAGTGTATGAATAGCGAACAGAGAAAGAGACCAAACGACGCGTCCGAAACGTTATAATATAACACATACAAAATCAAACACGTTCCGCCGAAGATTTAAGCCACAAATGCCTTCCAACGCGTAGATTGACGAGGGACATAGGCAAATCAACATCAATGAAACAAACTCCACTCGTAGCAGGCTTTTCATCCCCGCTTAAATGAACAAATGATAACTTTCGAACAAAACGGAAGAGATGGACCACGAGCGGGAGTTCACTCAGCACCATCCGCTACAAAACCGTCAGACGGAAAACGAGGACAATCAACAAGTAACATACCGACGGATCAATTTTATCGTCCCACACAATATCCATAACCTCAACCACCGGCAATTTCACAGCCAGGCACTGGAACAAGACAGTAGACCAGAAAGGCATATTCGACGCAAAGAATTTCAATCCAGGAAGAAAAGGAAGAGTTGTCTCCAACAGACAGAGACCCAACGAGCTGTTAGTGAGGCAGAGATGGGTCAAGTGCGCGAAAGAAGGAGGTAAGCTCATCAAAAAGTCTAAGGGAACGCGAAGCTCCACCAGCGAAGGAAGTAGGACGGGAATTGAAGGCACAATCCCAGGCAAAAAACCTTCTACCGCAAACGATAAAACCTGGGGACAGTTCCTAAGCAATCGAGTGATACCCAGGCTGAATTTGGAATGACCCTGTATTCCCCCAATCAATACCCCTATATCCCAGCGCGCAACAAGGGAAACCAAAGTCAACGACTCCAGCAAAGTCGCCAAGCTCTTTTCCCCCCCGACCTCGAGTTCAGCGCCATGCCACCAGTCAATCACAAGAACTTGTATCCGAAAACAATGATAGGCGATAACAAAATCTTTGCGCGGACCATGCCAACGCAAGCGTCGCATTTCAAGTTTCCGCAGGCCTAGGGAACAGGAGCCAAACGCAGAATCTCCGTAAATACCGCAGTTTTCCAACGATAAAACGGTTAAACTAGGCATTGCAGCTAGCATGCCTGCGAAACCCTGTGGGACGTGAAGGTGGCGCAGAACAAGATTGGACAACCTAGGGCAGTCAGGGAGGGTAGCGAACACTGTAAGCCAGGCCTGTGAAGGCGCTCGCCACACAAGCGCCACAGGTTCATCAGTGCTGATGGCTACAGGTCCATCAAAGTGCACTGCTGAGCCTATCGAGAGCATTTTTATCTTATTTATCCTCGAATCCCTGTCCCAAGCCGATAAGTAACGGTCAAAAGCAGCGCTCGACTTAACGATTACAGTCGAGTACAGGACCGGCACTGCAATTTTGTAGAAAGTCTTTCCGCATAGTATGATCCCGAGAAGATCAGAGGTACTGCAATAGAAGAATATCTCGGTGAGGATTTCACAAGGAAACAATGAGATAGCCATTGAGGTAGAGACGAAGGAAAGAAATACTCCTAAGTTATCTAGGAGTTCATCACAAGCCTTTTCTGCATTGGATTTGAAGACAAATTTGTAAATAAACCTTGGCCGCGTAACGTTAATCCCGTAACCAAACTTTTCCTCCAACTCGAAACACCGCTAGTGCCGGAGACTTTTCCATACCAATAGCTGACAGACTGCTAAATCCCAAAACTTCTCTGTCCTCTTCTCCTGTGAAAGACACGTTCCGGATGTTTTTATAAAGATGGACAATTGAAGGAAATGTACCAAGCACGAGCAACTAAACCCGGTGTAAGCCACAAAAAATTGAAAACAGAAAAGAAACAAGTAACCGTTGGATCCATCCGACCCGTCCACAAAACTTCGAGAGTGTCCAGGCAAGGTGCACATTCCGCAATGCGGAGGAACACCTCCGTTAACCAGAATGGCAAGTTCACACATAGAAACTCGACGGCAGGCAAAAGAGGAAGATCGTCAATTAAAATGTCTGGGTCTACCGAGTCGTCTGTGAGTGTAAGGTGTGTCAATCCCGTGCAAGGACATCGCAATGACTGCAAAAAGTCGAAAGGAACGTGTGCAACCATCAAATGGTGAAGGGATGAGACCACCGAACGGGAATGAAGTTGGGATACTGCTATGTAGCCCTCTATGGCAAAATATTGTAGCAGTGAACACCCCTTTACTACTTTTGCAACATCTCTTGTACCTGCCGCTTGCAATGACCGATGTACCTCAACCTCCATAACTTCCACCCGAGTAATACATGAAACCAAAGTCAACGATTCGAGCAACAGAGGGAAATGGTGCTGGCTGTCGAACAGCCGTTCAGCGCCAACCCACCAATCAATAACGAGGGTTTTTAGCAAGTGGCAGTTGAAAGCTATTGCATAATCCTGCCTGGTTCCATGCCAGCGCAAGCGGCGTAATTCCAGCTGAAATAGTAGCAGCGCGGACGATCCAAAGGCGGTATCAGA